CCAACACCAACGCCACCAGTCGTGGACACCGCCAACACCAACACCACCCGTCATTACACCACCAACACCAACGCCACCAGTCGTGACACCGCCAACACCAACACCACCCGTAGTAACACCACCAACACCAACTCCTCCTACGCCTATTCCAGAGACCTGCCCAATCGACACGCTGAAGCTAGGCGCTTGTGTGGACGTTCTTGGAGGTTTGATTCACATCGGGCTTGGGAAAAGCCGCGCCAAGGAAGAGTGTTGTCCGGTTTTGGGAGGTTTACTTGACCTAGACGCAGCCGTTTGTCTATGTACCACCATTAAGCTCAAACTTCTCAACATCGACCTTATTCTCCCCATTGCTCTTGAGCTTCTTCTCGACTGTGGAAAAACTCCACCACCTGGCTTCAAATGTCCTGCTTAATCAATGTAGAACGTTGAGAGTCTCTGGACGACTCCAAAGGTTTCGTTTCTTCAAGAATCTGTTAGCTCATGATCTCTTTGGTAATGGGAGGTTGATTTGCGTGTGTGCGACCTTTAGTTACATGTTTCATTTGATACAATAAAAGGCGTTGTAATTTGGGTTTGAGATCTCATTTTCTTTGGGTTTTTTTTTTTATGTTATGTTGTACTTTTAAGAAGAAAAAAAAACAGTAAAACGATATAACTTTTTCTAATATAAACATGTTTGTATCTGTCTAATTTGTTTTTTATGTATACGTACGATTTTTATAGGCATGGCCCATGCACAGATGCATAGGCGCTGCACAGCGCAGCTACTGAGCAAGAACATGTGTATAAATGTAGTTGTACTTGTATACACGTATACTCATGCGCACAAAATTTATCTTTATTACATTTTTTTCTCAAAACATTTGATAAATAAGATAAAACATATATATATGAAAAGATTTTGATTTGTCTATGAAAAATTCATGAAAAAAGCAATTCCCTATAAAAATTTTAGAGTTTTATAACATCTTATAAGTAACAATTGTTTGTCATACATTATACTGTATAAATCTGTTATTTTCCCCCAAAAAAACTTAAATCCGTGATTATTATTTTCTTTTTATCGTTAATTTACTTTATTTATTAATTAATTTATTACATTAATGGGTTAACCCATTTAACCACTAACCCATCAAATTAAATGAGTTAATGGGTTGACTCAACTCATTTAACTTCAAATTCATTGGATAATGAGTTGAGTTAGATTTGGTTAATCAATTTGACACCCATAATTTTATACAGAAAACATAGAGTATGTTCTTCTACGTACCAGGGATTTAAAATATCATTTAAACATTTAGTAAACATTAATACAACAAATAATTTTTGTTTGGATTTCTATAATTCCTTATAAATCAATGAACCAATAACCCCTCCTAATACATTCTTTTTTTCTTTTAACTTCGTGAAGAACATTATTATTTGTAAAATCGGTGCAAGCATTTCAAAGTTTTTTGTTTTTGTTGAAAGGTATATTCTTACTAATTTGCGTATACTACACTATACATCCACGTAAAATGAAACTAGTTAACATTTTCTAACTAGGATTCAGACATCCACGTAAAATGTCGCGGGATAATATTCCAAAAAAGTCTTTAGATAATTAGGAATTTTAGAAAAAGAATCCAAACTCAAAATAATGTATGTTAAAGTATAGGAAAAAAAAAAAAATTATCTAAGAAAAGAGAAAATTTAAATTCCTTTATTATTACATTAATTAAATATCTGAACTTTGCCAAGACTCCGAGTTATGATTTTTGGGCTTCATTTTATCATTTGGGCTTTCACCCTATCCATTAAGTATATCTTTGGGCCTAATCGGAAAAGCACAAAAAAAAAACTCTGGCTTGTCGAACAGTTCACATCTCAGAGGTTGTCTTTTATCAAAAGCAAGTTCTCAGCAAAATCAAAGAAGAACTGAAACGAGAGAGAAGCGAATTCTTCTCAGGTAATGAAATTACTCAATCTGTTTTCTTAAATCTAATGTCTTTCTTTCATTCTACGTTTCCCTAAACTTCTCGGAATCTGGGTATCTTCGTTTTCCTGTTTGAATTTGAGTTACTGGATCTGTCTTGAGCAAAGTGTTTGCTTATGAAATCTTCATAATTTCGATAGAATTTGGTAAACCCTAGCTAGATCTGTTTAGTTTTTTTTAACATAGGCATCAGTGATTGTCGACTATTCCTCCTACTAGGGTAAGTGAATGTGATTTCATTTCTGTAATTTGTGTCGATCTCAAAAGTAACAGAGATTGATAAAGCTAGTTCCTTTATGTTCTATTGTAGAAACTATACCTAGATTAGTCTGTGGGTTTAATCTGAATCAATAGGGTGAGTTGATCGCTATGATGTCGAAAACCCTAATTTTCGGGTTCGCAGAACCAGCTCTGTGTCTAAGGGACAATGAATTAGTGTCAATGCTTCTTGTTGGCTTGTTGCCTCCATTTTGTTTTATGCGAAAACTGCAGTTTTTTTTTTGTTTCTGTAGTATGACCATAGAGTTTTACTGTTTGAAGAACTCTTTACTTTCGATTAGAATCTGTGTATGAAACTTGGGAGATTTGATCTCTTCTTACACTTTTCGATGCTTTAATGTTTCGAGGAAGGTCATA